ACCAGCTCTGCAGCTCCCATTGGCCGGGAATCATGGCTGCCTGGCTGCACCTCCATGTAGGAGCTGGAGAGAGGACATGCTGCTGCTTCCGGGAGCTGCCTGAGGTAATCGCCACCTGGAGTCTGCACCCCTGGCCCTCTCCCATGTCCCAACCCCCTGTCCCAGCCCTGATCCCCCTCCCGCCCTCCGAACACCTTGATCCCAGCACCCTCCCGCACCCCAAACTCCTCATCCCCAGCCCCACCCCAGAGCCTGCATCTGCAGCTGGAGCCCTCACACCCCCTCCTGCACTCTGAACCCCTCAGCCCCATCCTGGAGCCCCCTCCTGCCCCCCCAAATCCCTCATCCCTAACCCCACACCAGAGCTCGCACCCCCTACCCCAGCCTGGAGACCCCTCCTGCACCCTGAACCCCTGATTTCTGGCCCCACCCCAGAATCAGCACCCCCAGCCCAGAGCCCATACCCAGTGGCATAGCCAGGTGGAGGGAACAGGGGGAGTGATAAAAAAAGAAGGGGCCACCCACTGCGGTGCTTTTACTGACGGGGCGGCGCTCCAGGTCTTCGGCAGTGGGACCTTCACTTGCTCCACGGGTCTTTGGCGGCATTTCAGCAGCAGGTCCTTCAGTGCCGCTGAAGACACCCGGAGCGAGTGAAGGGCCCGCCGCTGAAGACCCGGAGCGCCGCTGGGTGAGTAAAAATTAAAAAGGCGCCAAGAAATTGACAAGGTGCCACTTGTGCTCATGGGGGGAGCGGCCGCTGCTCCGCTCCCCCCCAGCTACGAAACTGCCCATACCCCTTCCCACACCCCAACCCCCTGCCTCAGCCTGGGGCCCCCTCCCATACTCCCAACCCCTCAGCTCCATCTCCCAGCCCAGAGCCCCCTCCTGCCCCCCAAACCCCTTGGTCCCAGTCCCACCCCAGAGCCCGCAGCCCCAGCCGGAGCCCTCACCCCCTCCCAGACCCCAACCCCCTGAGCCAGCCTGGTGAAAATGAGCGAATGAGTGAAGGTGGGGAGAGCAAGCGACAGGGGCGGGGGAATGGAGTGAGTGGGGGCAGGGCCTCAGAGAAGGGGCGGGGCCTCAGCGGAGGGGCGGGTAGAGGGCAGGGCAAGGGTGTTCATCAGTTTTGTGCGAGTAGAAAGTTGGCAGCTCTAACTGGGTCTGGGAGCTCATGTTCAGCTGATTTTCCACCATGACCCCTAAGTCCCTTTCAGAGTAACTGCTTCCCAGGATAGACACCCCCAGCCTGTCAGTGTGGCCCATGTTCCTTCAATGTATTTATGTAACAATACCGGCAAACCCCAGCAAGGCCTTCTCCAGGGTCCTCTCCTCAGAGCGGGGTGGACATGGCCCTTGTTCAGCGCAGGCTAGCAGCCCTGCTGGGGCTCAGAGGGGGCAGGGGCATGGGGCAGGGAGCAGGGTCTGCTCCAGAGGGAAGCTGGAAGCAGCAGTCCATGCAGGCAAGGGAGGAGCTGGGAGACCTGGAGCCCCAAGTCTGTTTCTCTTACCTGGAAGAGAACTGAGTCCAGGGGATTGTTGACCCCTGGTGGCCCCCTTGTGGGGTGTCACCCTTCTGCACCTTGAGGAGAGAACTCTCCTGCTTCTGGTATCACCCACCTCACCCCAGCAGTGGGTCCCTCCTGCACCGGAGGGCTGGGACTCTGCTGGCCCCCGAGTCCCCTGGGGTTTACACAGTACCCAGCACTACCATGTCTGAGCCCCTTCCCCACTCCCTCCTCTCCACCCCACCGCTGGGTCTCTCTCCTGCCCACCTCAGCGACTCAGGGTTTGTCTCTAGGAAGCTGGGGGTAGTCAATTATTTTTTGTCAAGGGCCAAATTTCTTGGCCAAGCTATAGTCAAGCTCCGGACTCCAAAGAAACCTTTTTAACACTGCAAGTGCCCCTGTTCAACACACCCATACAATGCTGTGAAATATACCTGGGGACTATTGCTTATATTTCTAGTGCATTAAATGAAAATTAAATCAAACCACTGTATAACCTAAAAATAACCTCCAAGAAAGATGTAATAAATTACATCTGAGAGGTTGAGAAAGTACTTAGATAAAATGTCAAAGAGATGCAAATATTAGCATTAAAACACTTTCAGACAACTATTTAAATTTTGAATGAGTTTTGTCAAATACAATTATTGTTGGCATATCTGTATATAGACAGATAAACATATTCAAAACTTTTCAGCCTTTTGTGGTTTATTTAACATAATTATCAGAGTTTGAAAGAAAATAACACTTAGTACACATGAAGTCTTTATCTTTTGTGATTCAAGTCTTCCCAATAACAAATACACACCCACCTACATGTGTATAAAGCAAAAGAATCATGAATAATTACTGTGAAATACCTGTTATTACTGTAGTATTACTACTGCAAATGTAATTTTATACAGCAATACAAATTTAAAATAAAATATGCGTGAATAATACATAATTATACTACTTGCCATCAGAGGGAAAAGTGACAGGTCCTTTGCTGGACAAGGGTCTGGAAGTTTTGAGTGAGTTTAGTCAAGGCAAGACGGAGGCAGTTGCACATGAAAACATAAGAAAGGCCATGCTGGGTCAGACCAAGGTCCATCTAGCCCAGTATCCTGTCTACTGACAATGGCCAATGACAGGTGCTTCAGACAGAATGGGAAGAACAGGTAATCATCAAGTGATCCACCCCTGTTGTCCATTCCCAGCTTTTGCACAGATTATTATCAGTCAGAATGGAGCAATTATGCGATTTAATGTTGTTCATTGTTGAGAATGCTGACTCACACACAGTCGAGCCAAACATAGTCAAAATGTTAAATGCCATCTTCCTCAAGTGTGGATACGTGGAGTCCAGCACAAGGGCTGTCCAGAAAGTTTCAGATGTAGTTTTAGTGTGCCTCACCTTAAGCACTTCATCTGATTGTAAATCAGTAAGCTCCAGTTGTAGTTTTGCTTTTTCGTCATCTGGAAAGAATGCTTTTGCTTGATCACACCAAATGCCATTTGCTTGTACCACAAATGGGTTCCTTACAAACAGGAAGATGTTGTTAACACTTTCAAATTCTTGAAATCTCTGCTGGAAGTTTTGAAGGAGCCTCTTCAGAGATGATGCCATCTGGCTCACGTCTGCAGTGTCCAGGCAGCTTAGCAGTGTTGGGAAAAGCAACATCTCCCCGGTTTCCAAATCACTTTTGAAAAGACTCAGTTTGTTTTGAAATGAAGTGACACTGCTGTGGAGATCAACTACATTGTGATTTTACCCCTGTAGCTTTAAGTTGAAATCATTTAAGTACATAAGAACGAAAGAATGGCCATGCTGGGTCAGACCAAAGGTCCATTTAGCCCAGTATCCTGTCTTCCAACAGTGGCCAATGTCAGGTGCTTCATAAGGAATGAACAGAACAGGTAATCACCAAGTGATCCACCCCCTGTCGCCCATTTCCAACTTCAGGCAAACAGAGGCCAGGGACACCATCCCTGCCCATCCTGGCTAATAGCCATTGAGGGACTGATCCTCCATGAACTTCTCTAGTTCTATTAAATCAACAAAGAAGTCCAGGATGCTCATACTTGCGAACCTCTCAAAAAGGCATGCAACTCTTCTGCCTTTTCCCATGGAATGTTCTGTAGATATTCTTCATATGAACTTGAATTTCCCACAGCCTTCTTAGTACTTGCCCTGTGCTCAGCCAGCGATGTCATTATGAACCAACAGGCCATTGTAATTGGCAGACACTTCTGAAAGAAAGCTTTTGAACTCTCTGTGTTGCAGTGATGACTTGAACTGACGGAAGTTGACAGGTTTAATCACCATTAACATTGCATCATAAAGCTTTGCGCAAAGTGCGATTTGGTGGATTACACAGTGATAGGAAATCAAACTGGGGTCCAGATCTTGCAGAACCCATGCAGAAACTGTAGCAGTGAGAGCGCAGAAACTTGACCACTAAACCACCAGGGAGGAGGGGGGCGAAGGGCTCCCTCTGCGCCCAGGTCCGAGACCAACTAGGAACATGTGTGAGACAGATGGCAGGGTGAAGAGAGGCAAGAGGACAACTCAAAGGCCCTTCAAAAGTAAGGCCCTGGAGGATGGAGTTTGAAAGGAAGGATGAGGGAAGGAGAACGAAGGAGAAATGAAAAAGACACTTGAAAAGGGGAGACAACAAACTGGGACCCACTGGCCACAGGCAGAAAGCAGCCTTTGGCAGCCAGCCTTCCAAAGGGGTCAGGCTTCCCTGACTGGGGCTCGAACCCAAGTCCCAGTAGTGAAAACGTCAAAACCTGGCCCTTAGACCATCCAGGAGAAATCCCAGCAAGGCTTTGGGCAGCTTCTACTCATCCATGTGGGCCATGCCCAGCCCCAAGGCACTACAACTGAACCTCTGCACTCCAACTAACCCCAGGCCCACCAGAGCCACAGCCCTCAGCCCACCTTCTCTGAGGATCGAACTTGGGATCATCTGGTTATGAGACGGATACGCTGCCAGCTGTGCTAAGTAGGTGCCTCACAAAAAGCTGCTGCCACTGCCAGCTCCCTGTTCTCTGCCACCTCACAGGGCCATGTGTGAGACGGCCAGCGATGCCAGGAGCAGCCAGAGGACAGGTCACAGGCCCTTTGAGAGCAGGCCCTGGAGGACATTAGAGTTTGAAAGGCAGGATGGGGGAAGGTGAACGGAGGAGAAAAGAAAGAGACACTTGAAAAGGAGAAAGAAGACTTTAGAATACACTAAATTGAAAGGCCAGTGCATGAAAACAGGCTTTAGGCTGCCAAAGGTTCCCTGCTGGGGAATTGACCCTGGGCTACAGTGATGAAAACACTGACTCTGGACCACTAGACCATCAGGGAGAAGCCACATTAGGCCCTTGGCACTTGCTGCTCAAATGTGTGGGACCCGCCCTGCCCGCCACGTGGTAAAGCGCAGCACAGGAACCTCTGCAGTCCAGCTGACCGCAGGGGATGGTCAGAAAGAAGGGCCAAGGGCCATGGCAAAAGGCTCAGCCCGTCTTCTCTGAGGATCAAACTCAGGGCCTCCAGATTATGAGACTGACACGCTGCCGGCTGCACTAAGAAGACACCTTGCAAAAGCCCCTGCCCCTGCCCCTGCCAGCTCCCTGTTCTCCGTCACCTCAGAGCACACTTCAGTTCAGCTGCAGGACAACGTGTCACATCACCTGCCTGAAGGCAGAAACAGCCCACCTGGCTACCCCTGCCACTGGCCCCTCCAGAGAGGGGACAAAGTGGGTCAGACCAGTGCTCCATCTGCTGCAAGAGCCTCTCTTCTCACAGTGTCCTGTGCCAGAGACCCACGAGGGGACAAAGAGAAGAGGGAAGTTTTGACTGAGTCTCCTCCCCCGCCTTCTGGCAGCTGGAGGTTTTGGGACCTGCAGAGCATGGGCTCCTGCCCCTGACCGTCTTCGCTAATAACCATTGAGGGCCAATCCTCCACGAACTCATCTCCTTCTTTTGGGAACAGCTTATGGGGTTGATATAGAGGCGTTCTGTTTGTTTCTCCTTTATTCTCTATCCTTCTCCTAATGCTTCTTAACACGCTTCTCTGAGCTGTTTCCACTGCCGCTGCCCATCGAGTGGATGTTTTTAGAGAAGTAGCCACCATGACTCCAAAACCTCTTTCTTGAGCAGGAACAACTAATTTAGACCCCGTCCTTAATTGGGAGGTGCGCTGGGACTCGGGGGTATAGCCCTAAGGGGAAAGGGAGAAAGGGGCTTCAGTCCCAGGATGCCTGCCATGGGGCTGACCCCTGAGTCCCAGCGGGACTGATGCTCCCAGTCCTGGCATGCCCAGCTGTCCACTAAAAAGGCTCTGGTGGTCCTGATTTGGTCTTCCCCTGGCTTAGGCTCTTGGTAGCTAGATGTATCTGCCATGCAAGTTTCTTTGGGCAGCTTTTTCCACACTGGGTTAGTTCAGGGGCCTCCGCAAGCCCTTGGGCAATAGCTGGATACATGCAGGCTCCACAGAACGACCATGGATTTGTCACTCCCTGGCTTTCCCCCGCTGGAGCTCCTAAGCCTGTGGCTAAGTATAGGATTTCCTCCCCCCTCAGGAGCCGGACTGAGTCATTAAACTCAAAACCGTTCAACTCTGTCTCCCCTGCCCAGCCCAGAGGGGACGCCAGGTGCCTTTATCCAAAGAGAGTTGGGCACAGGCGTGCAAACAGCTCTTCTTCGTCATTTGCTAGGGAAAGGGGGCCTGTACCTTTAAGACTGGTCGATTTCTTTCCAAACATTCCCAGGCGAGTTCACAGAGGCTCTGAGCTGTCTGGAGTGTGCTGCTTGCAGGTGAGCACCAAGCTTTGCCATTGAATTTCACCTGCTAGAGCCTGTTCATTTAGGAGGTAACTGGGGCTGGTTATTGCATCTCCCACTCTGGGGATTGGCGGGGCTGGTGCTGCTGATTTTTGAAGGAGATTTGTTGTAACTCGACCCCCCCAGTTAAGGGAGGAAGGAGTGATCAGTGTAGAACGGCAGCAGCTGGGGGCTGAATGGCCTTGCTGGGCAGGTGCTGAGTCCCTGCCATGTTCTAGCTTGGGGCTGGGGGTGAATGGAAGTGGCTCTGCTTGGGACCCGGGAGAGGGAGGTTAGGGTTGCACGTTTTGTTAGTGGGCAGCTGCAAGTCACTAGTATTTGCAAGCTGGGCATCCGTGCTGGTTTGAATCCCATCCCCAGAGTCAGCAGCATTCAGGGGCTGAGACTTTGCAGGTGTTCGGGGCTGCTGTGAAGATGCCCCATGAGTTTGTCCTGGGTGTGACGTGGTGGAATCTGGCCAGCCTGCAGACTGCCGCTGTGCCACCCTGGGTGGATGCTGCTGTGGGCACCATTGTTGGCATTTGGATTTGGGGTCCATCGTGGACGCATACGTTCTCTATGGTCCGGGCTGTGATGGGACAGAGCTGCGGCACCAGCGCTCACTTGTTTCGAAAGAAAGGGGATTTGTGTTGCATGGCTGAAGAGAGATGCAGCTAGCTCCTTCTCTTAGTCGCGGCTGGAGATGCCTTGTGCCACTGGCACGTTTAGGGCTGTCCCTGGAGTCCTGTCCAGATCATGCCCCAGAGGGCAGCGGCTGTGATTCTAAACGACCAGGCAGGGCCAGAGTCACCCTTGCAGGGGTGGCAGGTTTGTAGAAATTTTGGTGGTGCCCAGAACCCACCCCCCAAACTCTGCCCCCCACCTGACTAAGGCTCTGGGAGGGAGTTTGGGTGGGGGGAGGAGGTCTGGGGTTCAGGCCCTGGGCTGGGGCTGGGGATTAGGGTGCAGGAGGGGTGCAGGCTCTGGGATGGAGTTTGGGTGGGGGGAGGAGGTCTGGGG